GCAACCCTGGGCCAGGTCATCAGAGCCCAGAGTCCAGACTCCCGGGACAGGGGCAAACCGCTGGGCATCACAGCAGGTTGCCTAGAGTCCCGGGCGCCCTGGAGATTTCCTCTTTACAAACGGTTTGGAGGGCGGATGAGCCCAGGGGATTGGCAGCGTGGAAGGACTCTGCAGCACAGGTCTGTGCCTGACCCTTCTGTTTCAGGGAGATGTGGTTGTGCCTGTTGCAAACTGCGGGGTCCAGGAATACAACTCGAACCCCAAAGAAACACATGCCCCTCAGAGACTACATCACCTACTGGAAAGAGTACATCCACAGGGGCTACCTCCTCTCCCAGAGGCTGTGTCTACTCCAAAGACTTGGCACCTGTTCAGGTAAACGGGTGCTGGCTATGGCACCACCGTCCCGCTTAGTCCTGCATGAGCTTAGAGCGTTGTGAACCTGGTGGGTAGCCCCTCCTGCACAAAGAGAGTTCTTCTTTTTCCCAGTTAGGAATTTCAATCAAATTTAAAAGAAAGGCAGCTGTCTTTCAGCATGGTTGGAGAAGTGTTGCTCTTTTTGGGCAAGGTCCATATCTTTTCATGAGCAGAAAAACCTTTTAGTGGACACCACCCAGCTGGCCTCCAGAGTAGGTGCTTGATTGACGTTGAGTAAATTAAGAAACAGTTGTATTCTTTGTCTTGCTTGTGTATATATTCAAGCTTAGAAAGGCAGAGGAGAGATAGGAATTCAGGCCTCTGTGATTGCTGGCCAAAAATCCAGAGTGCATGAGAAGCACTAGCACCTTCGGCTCTTCTCCGTCCACACCGCTGCTTGGTGTTAGAGGGCTGGCTTGGGTACAACTGTGGTCACCTGTGACCACGACACCCGTCTTGGCTCCAGGGGACTTCCTGTTGCAGTAGCAGAGACAGGACACATAGACCCAAGCCACCCATCGATGCACTGGTGATTTGGGTGTTTACCATATCTGGTTTTTTTTGTTTTTTTTTTTGAGACAGAGTTTCACTTTGTTTCCCAGGCTAGAGTGAGTGCCGTGGCGTCAGCCTAGCTCACAGCAACCTCAAACTCCTGGGCTCAAGCAATCCTTCTGCCTCAGCCTCCCGAGTAAAGCTGGATACAGGCATGCGCCACCCCGCCCGGTACATAATATAATATATATATTAGTTGGCCAATTAATTTCTTTCCTATTATAGTAGAGACGGGGTCTTGCTCTTGCTTCAGGCTGGTTTCGAACTCTTGACTCGGCAATCCGCCCGCCTCCGGCCCTCCCAGAGTGCTAGTACAGCGTGAGCCACCGCGCCCGCCGGTAAGAAAACTGAATTTTAACGAAAATCTTTCTAATCAAATGTCATGGTAACCATCTGGGACGATACTTATACCAAAAAACGCCAGAATTATCTGGATGTACATATACCAAATAAACCAGCCTATCTAAGGCCGGCGCGGTGGCTTATGCCTGTAACCTAGCACCGGAAGGCGGTGCGGGGACGCTCAATTGGTCATGGATGAACCAGCCTGTGCAAGATGCTGAACCCGTCCTCTACTAAAATAGAAAGAAATAAGCCAACTAAAAAATTGTGAGAAAAAACAGTGGCTATGTGCACATTGCCTGTAGTCCCAATGCTACTCAGGACCGGCTTTAGACAGAAGGATCACTTGAGCCCGGAGTTGGAGGTTGCTGTGAGCGTAGGCTGACGCCAACGGCACTCAAAAAAAAAAAAAAAATTCAGTTTTTACCAAGTGTCATGTATTTTATCTGGCACCCTAAAAAATAAAGAGAGCAGAGGAAGGCCTGGGGGCAGGCATTCAAGGGTGGCCACAGGAGAGATAACATCTGAGCAGAGTTTTTTGCGGATTTGTCAGGTGCACAAAGGCAGGTCAGGCAGAGGGACGAGCATGGTATTTTTGAGAACTACATGCAGTTTGTTGCTACTGGGGCTCTCTTCCTGTCACTGTCTCTGACCAGGAGTCATGTGTGAGTGGGTCCAGAAGCTCTTTACTGCATGGTGTTGCTGCAGTTGCACCTTCCTCTGCGCTGGTTTAACATACCTGTGTTTGGGTGCTCATTATTGGGGTCATGGAGGTGGCCCTGGAGGGAGGGAGGGTTGGGGAGGTAAATAGGCAGCCCTCATGCCTGGGTCTGTGGCCTGGCATCCACCAGGCAGAGTTGGGTTCATTGGGGTCAGTGAGAGAAGGAAACCCACAGTTGGGAATGACAGTGATGCCGGTGGTCCATTCAGAGCCCCCAGCTCAGCCAGAGGCCGAATTTGTGAGACTGGGGCGGAGGGTGGGGTGGGGGCTGCTGCCTGTGTGAGCTGTCTGTGCGTTATCACAGTCCAGTCCCAAAGAAACCTTAGTGGCTTATGGTTCTGTAGTCAGGAATTTGCGTGGGGCCTAGCCTGGCCCCGTGGGGGCTGTGACTGTGTGACAGCTCCATGGAGCTGGGTGGTCTCAGGTGGCCCAGCTCCTGTAATCCCAGTCGCTGCTGCACGCCTCACTTGCCAACGTGGGCAAGCCTGCCAGGGCAGGGCAGGGAGGTGGGCGCTGCCAAGCGTCCTGCTCTCTCCACAGGAACTCCGCGGTGGAGGATGTGTTCACCCTGCCTGTGTACTTCTCCTCCGACTGGCTGAACGAGTTCTGGGATGCCCTGGATGTGGATGACTACCGATTTGTCTACGCTGGGCCCAAGGGCAGCTGGTGAGGCCGCAGGGGTGGGGCGTTGTGGCTGGCCACTTGGCTTATGGGCCAGGCCAGCAGGAGGAGGGAGCTACTTGGCCCAGGTGTCAGAGCTGGGGTCTGTCCCGCATGAATAACGGGCTGCCCTTCCCTCCGTTGGAGGCCTCTGGGGCACTAAGTTCAGGTAACTCATTCAGAAGGAGCAAAGCCCACGCTGGATGCTTCGAGGCACAAACCAGGAGCTCTTGCCGCATGCAGGTCTCCGTTCCACGCTGACATCTTCCGCTCCTTCAGCTGGTCCGTCAACATCTGTGGGAGGAAGAAGTGGCTCCTCTTCCCTCCGGGGCAGGAGGAGGCCCTACGGGACCGCCACGGCAACCTGCCCTACGACGTGACCTCCCCCTCGCTTCTCGATGCCCATCTGTACCCGAGGCGCCAGCACTGCGGCCCACCCCTGGAGGTCACGCAGGAGGCAGGCGAGATGCTGTTCGTGCCCAGCGGGTGGCACCACCAAGTCCACAACCTGGTGAGACTGGCAAGGTCACGCGGGCTGGGGCAACCTGTCTCCCCACCGGAACATGCACCTGCCCTGGCCCTCCTTGGGGCCTGCAAGCGAGGCGGCCCCTTTACGTGGTGTCCCGAGACCCCACTCCATGCCTGCTCCTCCCCTCAGCCCCATGAGCTCTGGGCTAGCTGTGGACTGAGATGGTCTCAGCGGTATCCTCTGCCTGCCAAGAGGGCACTGCTGGAAGGCGGAAGTGGCCCCTCCTGGTGGCAGAGGGCTGGGCCCCTGTGGTGTGTTCTGAGGTCCTGGTCATCTTGGCAGGCCAGGCGGGGAAATCCACTGTGGGCTCTTGGGCAGCTGTGCTCTGCCCCTCCCAGGATGACACCATCTCCATCAACCACAACTGGGTGAATGGCTTCAACCTGGCCCGCATGTGGCACTTCCTGCAGCAGGAGCTGCGCGCCGTGCAGGAGGAGATCGGCGAGTGGAGGGACTCCATGCCTGACTGGGACCGCCACTGTCAGGTGGGGTGGCCTGCCCGGCAGGGCTTGGTGGGGCAGGGACTCTCCAAGGCCAGGAATGATGACCTTCAGGCTCGGGGGGTGGGGGAGTGGGGTGGGACAAGGCCATAAGGCCCTGCTGTGTGGGTAATGGGTCCACCTGGGTCAGCCCTGACAGCGCCCAGCCTCCTGATGCCTCTGTTTAACTGATCCCTGCTCATTGTCCTCGAGGACTGGGCCTATGGGGCCTTTACACCCTGGGGCTGTAGTCTCTGGCTCACAGGCCTCCTCCCCTTTGACCCAGGTCATCATGCGGTCCTGCTCCGGCATCAACTTTGAAGAGTTCTACCACTTCCTCAAGGTTATCGCCGAAAGGAGGCTGCTCGTCCTGGGCGAGGGCACGGCAGGGGGCAGTTCGGGTGCGGAGCTGGGCCCTGAACAGGCGGCATTCGATGTCGGGCGCATCGCGGAGGTGCTGGCCTCTGTGGTCGAGCACCCTGACTTCCAGAGAGTGGACACCAGCATGTTCTCACCCCAGCCCAAGGAACTGCTGCAGCAGCTGAAGGAGGCCATTGCTGTCACCTCAGTCCTTTAGTGCCCTCCCCACCTTGAGCAACGTGGCCTGGGTGTCCCGGGAATGGCCCTTCCCATGGGTCCTGGCCACCCGTGGCTGTTGTCCAGGTCCCTGTTTTCAGGGCTGCGAGGTCAGGGCCCCTGGATCCGCTGAAAGGGTGACAAGGTGGGGTGTTGGTCCATCCGACCTACAGCAAGCCTGGGAGAGCTTGGGCTGGGTGGCGATGTGACCGAGTTTTCTTGGAGTCCCCGCACCCCTAGCGAAGGCCAGAACACTGAGCCAAGGGGCATACGCATACTGTCTGCCTGCTCTGGAGGCTCCTCCTCGCGGCGTGGAGCCGCCATGTGCTCAGCAGGGCTCGAGGCAGGAAGCTGGGCCCGCCCTACCTCCCGTGTGGGCGACCGGGTCGGGCAGAGCTGGGCCACAGAGCCTGCAACCTGGGCGCTCCTTCCTCGTGGCCCCCACACAGCAGGCCTGGCCTCTGAACTGGAGCCGCAGAGAGCCTCCCACTAGTGGCCTGTCTGCCCTCCGGGAAGCTTGGCTGCTCCTCTGCCAGCCTCCTACTGAGTCCTGGGCCCAGAGGGGCTGTGGCTAGTGTCAGTCACACTTGCTGTGCTTAGCAGGTGCCCGTAAATCCCCGAGGGAGGAGGGAGCAGGCGGGCTGTGTCCCCTGCCCAGCGCCTCTGCCTGTAGCTCACGCAGCTCGGTGCCACCTGGCCCTCTGCGCGGATGAGTCTTCCACCGCTGCTGCGCACTGGGCACAGCGGCCGGGGTGTGAGTGTGCTGCTCACCACGGCTCGTCCTGGCCCCTGTGAAGGCACAGCGGACCAGCGGCCTGGTTCACGCCATGGGGGTGGGCTCTAGGGGACCACCCTTGGCTCTGTGGCAGAAGATGCCCCAGACCTTGGCCCTCTAGTAAGAACTGAGAGGGTGGGGGCCAGGCCTCTGCCTGTGTGCCCTCGACCCCAAGTCCACTCCTTTTCAGTTGGCCCTGGGTCTGCTGTCCCCACGCCAGCAGTGGAGGACACATGTGACTGCTCTGACGTCCAGTGCTGCTGCCTGACCCTGGCTAGGATGGACACCCAGGAGGGCAGGGACTTCTGTCTCTTCTGTTAAATGAATTATGCTAAGTGCCTGGAAAAGCAACTGTACAAGTAGGCATCTTTTGTGTTTGTCAAATGAGTGGACTCCAACCAGTACCTTCCCAGGTGCCTGACACCTGTCCCTCCCTGGTTTGGCTGCACCAAGGCCAGGGACCCTGAGGTGGCATCTCACACCTATTCTACATATGGAGACACTGCATTGCCCATTCTGCAGGCCAGCAAGGGCTGAGGCAGAGGCTTCCTCAGGGTGGAGAGAGAAAGGACATGCATGGTGGGGAGCGCTTTCTCTGGCTTAACCGGTGGAGTCCCTAGAAAACTGGAGTTTGGTCCTCAGGAGTGAGCTGGGGCTGGCAGCTGTGGTGGCAGTGAGCCAGCAGCTCCAGCACCTGCTGGGTGGTGGCAAAGGCCTGAGGGGATATGGCCCAGGTGGTGGGGACTGCCAGCTTCTCCAGTGTGCCTTCCTTGCCCACCGTCCTGTACAGCAGAGCTCAGTGGCCTCTGTGGTTGTGACCTCCACGTGTGACCTCCAAGTGGTTGGGCTGGGGCTGACCCAGCATCGAAACCTCAGTGACTGGGCACAGGAGGGACATGAGATCCCAGCAGAAAGCTGGGTACTGTGGCTCACACCTCTAATCCCAGCACTTTGGGGATTTGGGAGGCCGAGGTGGGAGGATTGTTTGAGTTTGAGGTTGCTGTGATCAGCCCACTGCACTCCAGCCTGGGCCACAGAGAAAGACCCTATCTCAAAAAAAAAAAAAAAAAAAAAATTAAGGTTGGGGAATAACTCAAAATATCAACACCTTCAAGTCGTTTAAATGAGGATGGTTCCTCCCTGCCCAAGGTCCCGTGTGAAGGACCTGATTGCAAAACACCCCTGTGGTAGAGATGAAGAAACCGGTATCATGGTGTCAAGAGGCAGCACGAGGTCTTGCAGGTCACGGCCCACCAGCCATCCCGCAGTGGGCTCCTGACGGGGTGTCTGGGGACCCTTGTGCCGGTGTGGGTTGGAGACCTGTGCAGACGCTGTGGTGAGAGCCTCCCTGGCCTCACAGTTGGGTGCTACTTTCCTTCTAAGGGGCGTATTGAGGCAGTTACAGGTGCAGCAAGAAAGAGATGCCAGAGGGCCCAGGGTGCGTGCTCTGAGCGGCAGGCCAGGGAGTGGAAGTTCACTACCCGGGCAGCACCTGATGGGCCCTGTTGTTCAGGGGTGGCAACTCCTGGCCTCTAGATTTGCAAGAATGAGAAAGGATGCTAACTTTTGGGCCAGGTCAGAGCGGGGCGGAAAGCCAGTTTAAAGCGTTAAAATAGGCGCTCTCTGCCTGACCACCCTGTCCTGGGACTCTGTTGGGGTGGGGGAGTGCCAGCAGGATATTAGGATGGACAAGGGCATTCACAGAAGGAATCATGCCCAGGCAGGTTGTCACCATGTTGACGACCTGGTGGAAAGTCCCTGTCCCTGGGCCGGAGGGTCTCGGTGAGGTGTACAGACGTGTAGGTGAGCCCCTGCTCTGCTAAGCGTGATGAGGTGGTGAGGAAGGACAGTTGGGTGCACAGGCCCCGGGACACCCGATGGCAAGGCTCAGAAACACAGCTCAAGACCTAACATCAAGTGGAAAGAGCGCCAGGACTGATGTCCCCGCAGACATGGGGAGAGTGGCGCTCGACATGCCTGGGCTGGGTGGTGGGCAGGGGCGATGGCCCAGATTCCTCTGGGAAGGCCAAGGGGACGAGGAGTCGGGTCCCGCTTCGTCTGCACAGACCCCAGCCTGGGAGGAAACTGAGGACAGCTGAAGGCCCAGCAGGGGGTGCGATTGCTATTCTGCCGTTGCCACTGCATCTGAGGCATTGCCATCCTTCCCAGGGCATGTCGCCGAGCCCTGGCAAAGCCAGTCTCCCTGCATCCGGGGCACCACCCTCCCCCAGAACCTGGAATCCACATCGCAGGTCTGGAGCAACCCCGACGGCCACATCCAAGGCCTCTTCCTTCCCTTTCTGCTCATCCATGCTCGGGGCTTGGGCGTCAGCGTTAGCCCCCATTCTCGGGGTGGGGGTGGCAGGTGAGGGCGCTGGGGTCCTGCACACGCCCAGACCAGAGGCCGCCGGCTGCGCCCTGGGCCCAGGCGGAGAGGAAAGGCTCGGCTAGCCCAGCCCGGGCTTCCCAGGCCTGTCTCCCCGCTGCGCGAGGAAGGGGCGGGCAGTGCGGGCGTGGTGAGGGCCTCTGCCTCGGACCGCAGGCCTGGCCGGGCCCACCAGCTCGCGGGGTGGACGTGGACACTCCCTTCCCTAAGCCTTCGGCCTAAGCTTGGTCCTCGGGCTGTACCGCAAGAGCCAGCAGTTCTGGGGGCAGGAACTCGGGGCGCAGGGCCCCTCACCCTGCCTACCCCTTTCTCTCCAGGCTCCTGCCGGCTGGAGGTTCTGGGACCCCGTGGGGGCAGGGCCCTGGCCCGCGTGCCCGCGCCCTGGGCAGTGCCGAGTGAGCGGCCGGGCGGAGGCAGGGGCGGGGGAGCGACCTTGGGGGGCTCCCGGCTCCAGGGGCGCACTTGCGCACGGCGGGCACTGCCGCCCCCTGGTGGCCAGTACTGGCTCTGCAGCCCAGGCGGGAACCAGAAAGGAGCCCTCGCCTGCGTGGAGCCTCTGGGGCCTGGGAAGTCCCCCGCTCCCCCACGGCCCGAGCGCCCCCTCACCCGCTGTGCCTTGGGCTCGAAGGAGGAGACCGTGGCTTCAACAAAGACGGTCCTGTCCCTGGAACCTGGCCACGCTCTGCATCACCCCAGGTCCGCAATCCCCCCAACCCCCGAGAGCGCGCTCTGCTCAGCAGGGAATTTAAACATGTGGAATTAAACAACACACTTTAAAAATTGCAAAAGGGTTGAAGAAGAAATGAAAAGTGACATTAGAAAATACAGAGAGAGCTGAATATAAAGACAATATATAAAAAATTTGGAAGGCAGCTAAGACAGTGCTTAGGTGGAACTTACAGCTTTAAATGTCTTTTTTTTTTGAGACAATCTCGCTCTGTTGCCCAGGGTAGAGGCCCGTGGTGTCAGCCTATCTCACAGCAACCTCAAACTCCTGGACTCAAGCAATCCTCCTGCCTCAGCCTCCTGAGTAGCTGGGACTACAGGCATGCCCGGCTAATTTTTTAATGATTATTATTTACATAGAGGTTTTTTTTTTTTTTTTTTTTTGAGACAGAGTCTCACTTTGTTGCCCAGGCTAGAGTGAGTGCCGTGGCATCAGCCTGGCTCACAGCAACCTCAATCTCCTGGGCTCAGCGATCCTACTGCCTCAGCCTCCCGAGTAGCTGGCTACAGGCATGCGCCACCATGCCGGCTAATTTTTTGTATATATATTTTTAGTTGTCATTAATTTCTTTCTATTTTTGGTAGAGACGGGGTCGCTCAGGCTGGTTTCGAACTCCTGACCTTGAGCGATCCGCCCGCCTCGGCCTCCCAAAGTGCTAGGATTACAGGCGTGAGCCACCGCGCCCGGCCTACATAGAGTTTTTTTATGATTATAATTTATAGGGGTCTCACTATATTGCCCAGGCTGTTCCTTCTGCCTCAGCCTCCCAAAGTGCTGAGATTACAGGCCTGAGCCACCATGCCTGGCCTGAAATCAGTAACCTAAGCTTCCATTTAAGACAGTGGAAAAAGAAAAGCAAACAGAATTTAAAGTATGCAGAAGGAAAGAAGTAAAAGATTACAGCAGAAATTGGTGAAGTAGAGAATAAGTATGAAACCAAAAGCAAGTTCACAAAACACCAACACAATTAACAAACCTTTAGCTACACTGACCAAGCAAAAAACAGACAGAAGACTAAACTAAAATCAGAAATTAAAGATGGTGCTGTTTTATGATCATCTCAAAAAATTAAAAGAAAGATGAGACTACAAACATTACAAAAATATGAAATATTTAGAGAAGAATAATATGAACAATGGAGCGTGATATATTAGATAATTTAGATGAAATGGACAAATTCCTAGAAACATGAACTACCCAAACTTACTCCAGACAAAAATGAATAATATAAATAGAACTATCACAGTGAAGACATTGTATTAATAATAAAAAATAACTCACCAAGCAAAGCTCATGTCCACAAACTTCACTAGTGAATTCTACCAAACATTTAGAGATTTAATATCAATTATTCCCAAACTCCCCCCCAAAATATTAATACTGAAACTTCCCAACTCATTCTATGAAGCAGTAATATCATGATACCAAACCATACAAAGATACCATAAGAGAAACAAAATTCAGCCAGGCGTAGTGGCTCATGCCTGTCACTCCATCACTTTGGGAGGTGGGAGGATCAGTTGAGGCCAGGAGTTCAAGACCACCTGGGCAGCACAGCAGAACCCATCTCAACAAAAAATACAAAACTTAGCCAGGCATGGTGGTGCATGCTGGTAGTCCCAGATATTCAGGAGGCTGAGGCAGAGGAGCCCTTGCTTGAGCCTAGGAGTTTGAGACTGCAGTGAGCTATATTTGCACCACTGCACTCAGCCAGCCTGGGCAACAGTGTGAGACCTTGTATCTAAAAAAATAAACAGGAAATTAAAAAAAAAAACCACAAAAATATTCAGACCAATGTATCATGTGACTATAGATGCAAAATTCTCCAAACTATACGCAAAAATAAAATACATACAGGTGAAACGTAGGAAAAAAAAAAGAAAAGAAAATACAAGCAAACAGAATCCGCAACATATAAAAATAATTATACCCCATGCCAAAGTTGGATTCATCCCAGGAATGCAAGCTAGGTTAAGAGCTAAAAAAATATTTAATATGGCCGGCTGCGAGGTGGCTCACGCCTGTAATCCTAGCTCTCTGGGAGACCGAGGTGGGCGGATCGTTTGAGCTCAGGAGTTCGAAACCAACCTGAGCAAGAGCGAGACCCCATCTCTACAATAAATACAAAGAAATTAATTGGTCAACTAATATATATAGAAAAAAATTAGCTGGCATGGTGGCGTAGCCTGTAGTCCAGCGTACTCGGGAGGCTGAGGCAGAAGGATTGCTTGAGCCCAGGAGTTTGAGGTTGCT